GAAGACCACTTGTTTCGAGTAGATCTATTACTCTGTGACACATTTATTTACACTCATTTATGTATTCATCCACTAATAGTGAGTTTCTCTTTATGGAACTGCACCCTGAGAAAATAATGAGACCAGAAAAATTGATGGTTCATTTACACCTCTGTTTTGCAGAATGTGATTCTCTAGCCTTCACCTTGAAGACACGACTTACGTAATGGATAGGTTCATAATTTTATAAGAGTCTGCTGTAAGCTGACAAAGTGATGGCTCATTTGGTAAACAATCCTTTTTATCCTCCTGAAAGTTATGTTCTTTTTTTCCATGTTCCTCTTGAACTATTACTCATGAATCATGATATCTAATATTACAGACGAGTTTCTTTATCAGCTGTGACAGTGGTCCGCATGTTCAGCATTTATTTGATGGCCCATGTAAGGTACTTAAATTTGAAAATTTGCAAGCTTTCTTATCACTTCAACTGGAAATATATTTTGATCTCTTTGCACATTTTCAGTCTTTGTTAGTCTCGTATTTTAACAAGGTTAAACAAATGGTTATACATTAGCGTTTTGGACATAATATTTCTATGGAAAAAAATGTGTACTAATTAACCAAAAGAGTGGGAATAAGCATTTGGACATAAGATGTTTGATGTGTACTATTTAAACATCATTAGATGTCTTTAGAAATCTGCATACGTTGTTGAATGTTACTATTATTAGTTGTAGCGTTATATGATTCATACAAAACTATAGCATATTGGCACTGACATGGCAAGATGTTGGCTGTAGGGTTATTTTTAAAAAGCAGAAATCAAAATCCAAAGATATATTGAACTTGGGTTGTGTTTAGATGTGTGGATTTAAAATGATAGATAACGAGACTACTTAAATTTGACTATTTAAGATAGGATGGATTTCAAAACTTTAGAGAAAAAAAATCATTTCAATTTTTCTCCCTGAATCACTTAAATATATAAATTTCTTTTTTTTATTTTTAAATTTCCTGTTTTTTTAACATTTGATGCAAGCAATTAAACTAGGTAATCAAATCCACATCTCCCATTGCAAATCCATATAAGGCAACCTTAGTGTTTCAAACAAAAAGTAAAGAAAGAAAAAATGTTTTTCTTTTTCAATTTAGTTTTGATGCAGGATTCACATTGCTTAATTTTTTCTTTCCCCTTCTCTTTTTTTTTTTTTTTTTTTTCCTTTTCCAGACCATTGTTTCTTTTCAAACCCTTGTTTCTTAGCTTTCCTAGTTTCGGTTTTTATTTTTCTTCTAAAAAAATCGTTTCTTTAGGTCACTCTTCTTTGTGTTTCAAGTGATCTATCTTTGACTATACTCAATTGCTTGCTGTATTGAATATTAACTGCTTAATTTCAAGCAGCAAACTAGATGGTATGTTGCTGCCGCCCACACCCAACTGCATGTCCTTATCTTGCAATCACATAGTTTTAATCCTTGCTTCTTCTGATGCGTTGTTTTGTCCCACGGTATGTGTTGAAATTCAGTAAATATTTTTCATCTAGAGGTATGCCAGGTATAATGTAATCATGCCTTTGTTGATTTCATATTGCAGAAACCCATGTTCTGGTGCTAGTTGATGCAATTTTGAATAATTAATAGAGCCTCTAGTATGCAGTTCCACCTTCATATGATCCACATGGGCACTGAGCCCTCTGATTTGCTTGACTTATGAATGGAACATTCAGATTTTTCAAGCAACATTTTAAAGTTCCCACCCATTAATGTGAATTTCTCGTGGTTTTTTTTTCTTTGTAGGTACCAATTTCTGAGTTTGGATGTCATAAGGAATACCAGTCATGGTCATTAAACTCGCCAAAACGAGTTAATTTACAATGCCATGGGACCTTGGTTCTCAATGAGAAGTGAAAAATAGGACTGCTTGCCTTCATAAATATTTTTGCGCAGCCCACGATTGGCTGCCAATAGCTCAATGCAAGCCAGTGGGAGAAGCCAAAATGTGTTTGTTACAGCCATTTTGAAAAGTAAAGGGGTTTGTAGATCTAGTGGTTAAGATAAAGAACAGTAACCTAACCTTTAGTGGTTGTTAAATGCGCATTAAATCCCTTTTCCCTTCATATAAGTTGACAATCTCAATTAACCTGTAAATTGTGCTTCGCCCGATTTTAAAATACCCTTGTTTTTCATACAAAAGAGGCTAAGGCCAGGGAAAAGGGTGGCGATCGCCCGAACATTGACTTGAGCTTGCTTGAGATGCGGGATAAGTGCTCTATAACTAAAACATGGATTTCAGGGGTAAATGATTTTACCCACTGAAAGTTGTACGCCGGTTAATGTGTGTACTATTAAACCCAAACATCGAATTTCTAATGAATGACTTCAATAAGCAACCAAGGATTGCCAAAACAATGAGAGAACCCAAAATTATTATATGAGCCAATAAATTGTAAGAACGCCCACTGCTGCTGCCATAACATGATTGATTAGAGCATAAGTTCCAATTACACGTTGGATTTTTAATCTTAGTGTTCTTTCGCCCCCTTAAACTCTGTTGAATTTAGCATCAAGTCGTCTATTAATATACTAGGAAGATTAGATCCTGGTCCTACATCCATTTTCCTCTACAAAAGTTCAATAACCTTTTGCCAACGGAGTCTAACCTAGTGAAAAAGGATCTTGATTTACAGACCAAAGGTCTGTATGTGTATCAAAAAACATTATCCTTATAGTTTAGATCATCGCTTGTACTGAAAAACGGCTCAATAACTTTTCTTGTCGAATTAATTTCTTGAACCATTCTCGTCCAAAAAAAAAAAGAAGATAGAAGATAGTTTCTGTTTGGGCTTCGGGCCTCAAATTACAGGGGCTTCGGGCTTGGGGCCTCAAATTACAAAGGAAAAAAAGCCCAAACAATGGAAAAGAAGCCCAAACAATAAGAAAGAAGAGAGTTTTAGATGTCTTTAGAACCCGACTCGGATGCTACGAGAACTTCCATTTTCAAGAAATAAAAAATATATATATATATAATCGAAGATAAACAGAGAATTGCGGTCTCTCTTGTTCTTCCGAATTTGCATATTCTCCTTGTTTTGCGAAAGCTCTTGTCTGGTAAGTGGACTGAAATTATTCTTGGCTCACGGTTCCGTACTTATTGTTCTCTTTGTTTTCAATTCCAATTTCAGTTTGAGTTTGGTTCATTCTTCATTTCGTTTTGGGTCATTGCTTATTTCAGTTTGAGTTTGGTGATCTTTTGCAAATGGTTTGTTTGAATTGGAACAGAATGCCATATAAATTTTCCATTTTGAATGCCCATATCTGGGTTACGTCTATTTTGCATTAATTTCTTCTGTGATTGGTTATTAGATTGTTGTTTCATTTAGGAGAGGGAGCCATAGCATCCCTCCACCTTTTCGTAATTAGGTGTGGGAGGACTTCAGGTGGGCTTAGCCTTGCTCATCTTAGTGAGTGGATCAGTTTTGATAGATTCAGTGTTTATTTTATTAGAATTATTTCCATTATTAGATTTTAGTATGTGATCTTTCACTCAGATTTATAGCATGTTCTTATCATATTGTAAATCCTGCATGTCACTTCTAAGGGGGAGGGTGCTCGTGTACCGGTTTTGAAACTAGTACTGATGATAAGATATATTTTATTATGTAACACAATTGTTTCATTTAAAATTGTATTTTCATGTAAGCCAAATATGAATCCTACAAGATGATTTTCGAAACGAGAACATTTTTTTGCTTTTCCTTCGCAATGGAAGTTCCGGACAAGTATTGCTTAGATTGTTGATTTTGCCTCAAAAGGACATTAGCATTGCTTAGATTGTTGATTTTGCTTTTCCCACTTTTTAAATGATTTTCCAATGTGAATAAGGTGTGGGACACAGTAGACACCTAGAATGAAATGATCATGCAATTTGTGAGTGTCCACGTATATTTGCACACTTAGCTTGTGATGACTGTTGGAGTAATAGCTACACTATGTAGGATAAGGAACTAAATGCTAGTACGTATTTAAAGGACCTTGATAATGTGCACTGTTAAAATGGATAGACAAACTAAAATAATGAAAAGTCTTCTATCAGAGCTAGAGAAGCGTCATGTATGAGTACTTTGTCAGTGAATGAAACACTCTACTAAGAGGAGCAAGTGTCCTCCATGACATTTGCAATTACCTCAACAGTTTTCATTTCCAAGGGAATTTTAGTATTTTCCTATCTTTTTCTACTGTTTCTACAGAAAGAGAACCACTCAGTTTTACTTGGCTTCTGACTAATCATCTCCTAGAACTAACATTGAAAGTATGTTTTGGTCAATTGCGTCTAAGAAATTTGAATGAGTATCAAACTTGTTGTATGCTGGCAATGTTCTACGAGCATGGTAGTCATATAATTATGGTCTGTTCGTATGATGGGCCAGTAACCTTTAGGGATTTATAATTGTATAAGTTGCTTTCTTAGATTTCGTCGCATGTGCATAAAGATTGGTGCCTTGTTTCAGACTTATCATTAGCAATTTTTTGAAGCAGCATATGACTTGTACTGTTATTACACTTGCTATTATGTTATGGTTGTAATTGGTCAAAAATTTAAGAAACAGTGTTTAAGAAGGCTGCTGAGATCATATGGTTTAATCATGCTGTGCGACTTATTTTTTTTATTTTAATTTTTAACTTCTGTGTTGTTAGTTGTGATTTTTCCAAATCCTTAGGACTTTTCAGTTATTCGCATTAGTCTTTGTGTAATCTTAAAAGCCTAGACACAGAAAATTATAAGTGAATCACTAATCCACCCACGTGTTTGCCCCGTTCACATATTGCTGTATTAGAAAACTGTGGCTCGATGCAGCCTGCAAAACTCTTATATGATTGTCTTCCTTTTTTACGAACTTTAACATGACTCGTTTGTTTAGATAGTCAGAAAGGGAAAACGAAAAGGATAACAAAGGTTGTGCCGCAGTTTTTTCCCTGATTAAATTTATGTGCCATCAACTAACTGACTGCATTTTCTGAAGCTGGGCAGGTTCTCCAAACATGGGAAACAAGCCTGTGAAGCAAGAAAGCGAAGAAATTTTCTTGAAAGTTGTTCTCCGTTGGACCGTACATATGTTAGGTGGCTTGCTCGAGATCTTGAGAGGATTCACGGCTTTACACCAGCTAAACCTCGTGCTGTGAAGCCCCCAGATCATTATATTGAGTACATGCATCTGAATGGATGGTTGGATGTGGACTTGGCTGATCCTGATCTAGCCCATTTATTCAAGTAGATAGTGAAGGTGATGTACTTAAAAGAAATATTTGGGGGGAAAAAAAGATTTCCTTTGAACTAAATCATTGTTTAGTATTACTGGATTGGAATTTGAGTATATATCAGGAGTTGTAAGATACCGCAAATTTATATTTGAATGAAGCATCTCAAATCAAAACTCCAATTGATGAAATTTAGAGTTTGGATAAAAATAAAACCCCAACTTTACAGTCTGTAGAAGATGCTTCAAAATTATTTACATTTTAATTTTCATGATATGAAAGTTTCTCATGTTCACCACGACACTAGCAACATCACATCAGGTTTACAAAATCATTACCAAGTCGCATTTACATATCTCTTACGCATGCGTCAATTATTGGACCTAGAAAAGAAGCTATTTCTTCTGTTTCGGGCATTCCCCAAAAGTACAATTGGAAGGTATTTAGGTATTAAAAAAAATATATCATTTGCTGCCCTGACAACTTTCTCGGGCTGGGAAATTGGTTCTTAATTCTTATTAAGGTCTAAAATATTGATAATATTAACGAAAATGACCAATATTATCACTTTTTTGGGAGAGGATATTTTGGAACCTATCCATCTAATTATCGATAATTCCAAGGATAATATCGGAAAAATTTCGGCGCCAAGAATTTCACTCTCTGCAGCTAAAACGGAAGAGTGATGCGGCAGATTACGAAGCTGAGTCTAGTGATAGGACAGCTGCTCCTGGCTGAAGTAGTTACCAGCCCCCTCCAGACTCCTGTGTCAAGCAAGGTGGGAAAGGCAAACAAAACATCAAGGCTGACAAAGTGCAGCAGATCTGGACCCCAGACGCCGGCTTCCAATGTGGGTGAGTGTTACTTAAATCTGTCAAGTGTGCTCCCATACTTGTAGTTCTATTATATATGCGAGGTAAGATTTAATTGAGATTTGAAGAATGGATTAGTTGTGTTCCGAAAAGAATGAATTAGCTGATGCTATGAGAATTTATGGGATGTGTTTGCTTGATTACTCCCATCTAATCTGTATAATTGACAGGTTCTCCTTCTGGGGCTAATCTTACTCCGGCCGGACCTTGTCGTTTTGACAGCTCCCTAGGTAACAGAACAATTTCCTATGTTTTTTGTTAACTGATTTTATCGTTTAGTTATTTAGGTTCTTCATGAGAAAAGCAAGTTAATTTTTTCATTTGTTGTGCAAATATTATGGCAATGTCCTATTATTGCCAATCAGGTCTCTTAACAAAAAAGTTTATCAATCTGATCAAACATGCGGAAGATGGTATTCTGGATCTCAATAATGCTGCTGATACTTTAGAGGTGACTACTTTCCTATCTGTTGTAATGTATTCTATGTCAAGGATCTGTAAATTATAAGTTTTCTTTATTCTCACCCACTCCACTCCCCCCACCTTCGCCTCCAAACTTTCCCTCCATTTTCTCCCCCCACTTTTTCTTTTCGTTTTTTTTTTCCAATTTCTCTCGATCTCTTCCTTTCTCCTTCCCTCCACCAAACCCACCAAAAAAAACCCGCCCAACCCACAATCCGGTTCGGGTCGCTGGATGTCGGGCTCTCGAGCTCATGACCCGCCGGCTCAACCGCCCCAGCCGATCATGCAGCAGGCCCTCAAGCGGCAGCTCGCCTTCTCCTCCATGAAACCGCCGTTTCGAGGACAGGAGACGTGGACGAAAATTATCCTAGTTTACAGGTACGTAAAAAAGTGAACTTGTTGCTTGGCATGCTCGTGCTTGGATAGCTTAGTCTTGGCTCAGTTTTTGAGACTGTATGTTTGTTTGCTTAAAAGTACCAATGCTGTTGGTGTTTGTGCTATTATGTGCTGTTATTTGTTGTTTTTCTGTTCTCTCTTCTTTTTGGACGTGCCAGTCCCCAACCTAACTATCGTTGTTGATTCCAAATTCAGCTACAGCAGACTACCACGGCTTCGTTCCCGACCCTCGCCAACTCACTGATTCAGAAGCTTATGGCATATACGTTAAGCCCTCTGTGAGTTTTTGTCTCATTAATCTTGGTTTTTCTTTTTACTGTTATTTGTTTATGTATTTATGTGTTTATTATTTTTGGACTATTTTGTTGGAGATCTGCTTGATTAGTGAGTGTAATTACTCATTTGGGTTTTAATTTACTGAAATTAGTATTTGGAATTAGTACTAAAGGTTAGGATTTGTGGAAATTGTTTGGTTGAGTCAACATCCCTTTTACTGACTGGTTGGGTTTTCTGTGCAAATTGCTTTCCATATTTGAACTTCAGCATGATATCGTTACTTGTCATGTTACCTAAGTCTACATGTTTTTTCCAGTTCCAATGCATTCAAATATGAATAACTGGCATGACAAAGCGGGATTTTATGTTCTTGACTCAAATAGTTAAGCTTGTTAGATTTCAGTCCGCATGTTTTTTCCAGTACCATTTTTCAGCGTAATGCATTCAGATATGGTGATTGGCATGACAAAGCAAGATTTGCGTTCTTGATTAGATTACTTTGACAAGACTTGTTTTTGGTTGATCATGCTAGATTTCAGTCCACATTTGCCCAGTTCCAAGTTTGTGTGATGCATTTGAATTTCAATGATTGTCATGAAAAAAGCAGGATTTGTGTTATATTAGTGTGTAATTACAGTTGTTCCTAATATCAGTTTTGACATGATCGATGAAGTATGTGGTATGGAAATTCTATTGGTGTAAATACAGTTGGGGAAGAATAAGATCTAAACTATGGTAGTCTTCACTCCCAATCAGCAAGGGCAGATCTTATTGGTAAAAGAGGAAAAGAATGAAAAGGCACATTAGGTTTTTGGTAATTAGGTGCAAATAATGATTCGTTAACAGCGCTGTTTACATTTGCTCCTATAGTATTTTATTACAATCTAGAAATTAAAATCCTATTAGGCCTGGACCCCTTACATTCACTAGGGGACTTGTGTTTGCATGGCAAGTGCATTGATTTACACTCTGGCATGTTTTGTACTTTGCTTGTGTTACGAGTAGTATTTTGGTGAGTTGAATGTATAGAAACTAATTGAGGTAGGTTTTCGTTTCCCAAGTTGGCTCTTTCATTGGGCCAGTGTCATTAAAGCTTCTGAATCCACGATGTGAAATATGTATGATTTATAGAATTGCTATTACTGTTCTATGTTACATATACCTGCTGGCGTGATCTTTTAGTGGCAGTACTACCTTTTGAGAAAGTTGAAATGATTGTCTAGCATCTATTCGTAATCTAATTTTGGAGTGGTTCTGTGGGAGGCGCTTTTGCGCAGTAGCTCTTTTGTAAGAAGAAACCCAAGTCCTTCTCCTTAGATATTCACTTGGAAGCGCTTCTTGAGTAAACAGCTATCGAGCATTTCTCTAGGAATCACTACTCCTATAACCCCATAAATCATTTGTTCTTTATTTCGGTCAAACACTAAAAGCAGACACTTCCAAAAGCAATTCCAAGCACACCCAATGCATTTTTCAATACACAACCAAAAGTTAGAAAAATTAAAGAAGCTGTCTGTGTCTCACTGGATTTGTTGGATTTGGTATTTGTTAGACCAATCTCTCCACACTACCTTGAACTAGCTTACAATCACTGTAGATGACTGAATAATTTAGTACATATCAGCCTCTGGATTCCTGAATGGTTTGAAGTGCTCAATGGTGCCAATTTTAAGGGTTGGTAGTAAATACCAGTCTTAACCTGCTAATGAGGGATGCTAGAGGTTAGCTGACCACAGATCGATCATAGCAGTATACATGATTTTGTGCTTCATAAAGAGCTTTTGCAAGTATGTTCTCGTAATCTTTTGTCTGTGACATGCCTGATTATATCTAAGTGAGGCTACAAAAGATTGGAAATAGTAGCATAAGTATCTACGCACTTACATGATGAAGCTTTCCTTGTTTGAGGCAAAGTCAGACTTGAGACTATTTTGAAAAACAAAAGAACAAGAAGAAGAGTAACTATTAATATTCTCTTTTCCTCTTGATGTATCCTTTCTTCCCAATAATTATTCATAGAAATGTAATGTATTGCGAACAAAGATATACATCCCTTAAAGTGTGGTTCTTTTACAACAGAAGATAATAGACTATTTGGAATGGGAACAGTGCTGTCCCTATTTAATCTGTTATCTTCTATTCTAGTTCTTGTCTTTTGGCATCAATGTTGAATGTGGAGGCTAGCTTTGGAGATCTCGGTGATGTTAGCTTAGTCCAGTCTAAGCTTCCAAAGAAACTTAAGAAGCGGAGGCCAATAGTAACCGAAGATGGCCCCGCTGGATATGAGGAATACATTGATTACAGCTTCCTAGAAGAAGCACATACCCAAAACCTCAAGATATTGGAAGCTGCCTACATGTGGAAGAAGCGAAAGGTGGTTTAGGAAATAAGAAAAGGAAGAACATTTTGTTTTCCCTTAATAGCAATGATGTTTATTTCTCTGATGTGGTTTGCAGATGTTAGAATGCACTAGAGATTAGCGTGTATTTGTAGAATTATGGATTTATGAATCCTTCCATTTATAAGTTGGGAAGCTTCCAGTTTTCTTTGTAGAGGCTGCATAGTCCGCTTGAAACGTAGATTGGTTTGTATGATGTGCTAACATCTTTCCAGCTAATGTACCTGTATGCTTAATTATAATAATCATTCTCTTCATAGTCATTATGTATTTTCAATTGATCAATTATTTTCATTTTATAATTACTTATATGATATGGTTTGTTCATTTGATGCTAATTTTTTGAATAAACTGAATGGTGGATTAGCAGCTAAAACGGAAGAGTGATGCGGCAGATTACGAAGCTGAGTCTAGTGATAGGACAGCTGCTCCTGGCTGAAGTAGTTACCAGCCCCCTCCAGACTCCCGTGTCAAGCAAGGTGGGAAAGGCAAACAAAACATCAAGGCTGACAAAGTGCAGCAGATCTGGACCACAGACTCCGGCTTTCAATGTGGGTGAGTGTTACTTAAATCTGTCAAGTGTGCTCCCATACTTGTAGTTCTATTATATATGCGAGGTAAGATTTAATTGAGATTTGAAGAATGGATTAGTTGTGTTCCAAAAAGAATGAATTAGCTGATGCTATGAGAATTTATGGGATGTGTTTGCTTGATTACTCCCATCTAATCTGTATAATTGACAGGTTCTCCTTCTGGGGCTAATCTTACTCCGGCCGGACCTTGTCGTTTTGACAGCTCCCTAGGTAACAGAACAATTTCCTATGTTTTTTGTTAACTGATTTTATCGTTTAGTTATTTAGGTTCTTCATGAGAAAAGCAAGTTAATTTTTTCATTTGTTGTGCAAATATTATGGCAATGTCCTATTATTGCCATTCAGGTCTCTCATAACAAAAAAGTTTATCAATCTGATCAAACGTGCGGAAGATGGTATTCTGGATCTCAATAATGCTGCTGATACTTTAGAGGTGACTACTTTCCTATTTGTTGTAATGTATTCTATGTCAAGGATCTGTAAATTATAAGTGTTTTTTTTTTATGTAGGTGCAAAAGAGGCGGATATATGATATAACAAATGTTCTTGAAGGAATTGGTCTCATAGAAAAGAAGCTCAAAAATAGAATTCAGTGGAAGTAAGGGATTAGTTGTATTTGTTTCCTGAAATTTTAACAGCTATTTTTCCACTTTATTAAGTTGTAAATATTCAATTATCCACTGTACATTAGAAGTTACTCAAAATTGAGTGATTGGTTGATTAGGGGACTTGATGTCTCGAGGACAGGAGACGTGGACGAAAATTATCCTAGTTTACAGGTACGTAAAAAAGTGAACTTGTTGCTTGGCATGCTCGTGCTTGGATAGCTTAGTCTTGGCTCAGTTTTTGAGACTGTATGTTTGTTTGCTTAAAAGTACCAATGCTGTTGGTGTTTGTGCTATTATGTGCTGTTATTTGTTGTTTTTCTGTTCTCTCTTCTTTTTGGACGTGCCAGTCCCCAACCTAACTATCGTTGTTGATTCCAAACCTAGTCTGAAAGTGTTAGCTGATTAAAAAGGCTGCACTTACTTGCAAGGAAGTAAATAGCCATATAAATCTGAAGTCAACATCCCTTTTACTGACTGGTTGGGTTTTCTGTGCAAATTGCTTTCCATATTTGAACTTCAGCATGATATCGTTACTTGTCATGTTACCTAAGTCTACATGTTTTTTCCAGTTCCAATGCATTCAAATATGAATAACTGGCATGACAAAGCGGGATTTTATGTTCTTGACTCAAATAGTTAAGCTTGTTAGATTTCAGTCCGCATGTTTTTTCCAGTACCATTTTTCAGCGTAATGCATTCAGATATGGTGATTGGCATGACAAAGCAAGATTTGCGTTCTTGATTAGATTACTTTGACAAGACTTGTTTTTGGTTGATCGTGCTAGATTTCAGTCCACATTTGTCCAGTTCCAAGTTTGTGTGATGCATTTGAATTTCAATGATTGTCATGAAAAAAATCAGGATTTGTGTTCTTGGCTGGAAAGAGTTTCCAAGGCCTTTGTTTGGTTGAGCTTCCTAAGATTAGTGTCATGGTTGATTAAGACTAGAGACAATGGATCATACATAAAATATGTCAACTATTCATTGCACGTTGTAGCAAAAATAATGTTTGCCAATTCTGAAGTACAGTATGACCTCATTCACAATTTCCTTTTTATCCCAGGCACAAGTTGAAAACCTATCTGATGAGGAGCGCAGATTGGATCAGCAAATAAGGTTAATCCTTGGCTTATGCTGCTTTTTCATTCTTTCCTATTGTTATTTGTTGTTTTGTGCTGAAGCTATTAAATTGTCCAGAGAAATGCAGGAAAGGTTGAGGGACCTGAGCGAAGATGAAAGCAATAAGAAGTAAAGTTTTATCCTTTAATGTTCAGTATTCAATTACATTCCATGGAAGGTCATCACTGGCTAGTTTTTAACATTCTATTTTTAGCTTACCCTGTTGCAATTTATGCAAACACTTATCTCAGTTTTCCTTTTTACTTTGGTAGATGGCTTTTTGTCACTGAAGAAGACATCAAGGGCTTACCTTGCTTGCAGGTAAAGTTTTGGTGTTTGCTATTCTCATCAATGCAATTATCATTCTTCCCCCACTCTGTATTTTCTGACAAAATGTTCTCCTCTATGTTGTTAAACTGAATGTTCCATTTATTGCTTCTATCAGAATGAAACCTTAATAGCAATTAAAGCTCCACATGGCACCACTCTTGAAGTCCCAGATCCTGATGAGGTAGTTCAGGACAAAACATTACTTATTAAAACTTTTCTATAGCCTTGTACATTCTTAATATTCAATCAAACTTTTCTATTATGTACTAGGCTGTTGACTATCCCCAAAGGAGATACAGGATGGTCCTGAGAAGCACGATGGGTCCAATAGATGTTTACCTTGTCAGGTACTGTTGTTTCATGGTACATTGTCGTTACTTTAAGAGCAACAGTGAATGGTTTCTCCTGCTTGCATAGTCGAGAATTACAATGAATTTTAGTAATCTCTCTCTCTCTCTCTCTCTCTCTCATGCTAGTCAATTTGAGGAGAAGTTCGAGGAGATTAATGGTGTTGAAGTACCTACAGACATCCCCTCAAGTTCAGGGGTTAATGAAAACCCAGCTACAACAATGGTCACAGAGAATAGAGGGAAGGATGTTGAAATTCAGGGACCAGATGATCATAGAATGTGCGCTGATCCCACTGCTTCCCAGGACATCATGAGTGGGATGATGAAGATTGTTCCCTCAGATGTTGATGTAAGTTTGGCTTATAAGTTGATTTTACCATTGCCTATTTGAAAGATTCAATATGCTAAAAAAAATGTATTCTTCATTGGTTGCCTTTAGTGGTGCTGGGAGAATACTTCTGCACAAGTATCATATTATGCTCTTGAGATGTCTGTAGAAAATTATCCTGAAAACTAGTATTTAATGAATTAACAAAATTTTAATGGAAGTTTCCCTTTCCATTAGATACTTCTGCTAATCCTATTTTAATTGCAAAACATCTTCTAGAGTTCTAGTTATTTATCCAAATAGGTATCTTTTCGTACCTTGTTAAATAACCCTTTACACATTATGGCAAAAAAAATCATTTACAAAAAGAAAAAAAGAAAAAAAAAGAGGTGTGACATCTTAAATTGTCTTTCGTTGTACTGAGGAAAGAGTAACTGACTTACAGTGTGAGCATTTTCTGTTACCTTTTTTCAGAGTGATGCAGATTACTGGCTTTTATCAGATGCTGATATTAGTATCACAGACATGTGGAGAACAGAACGTATCCTTGTCCTGAAAGATGTTGTCTTTCTTTCCATTTATTATTTATTCTTTGGGGTCAATATTTCAGTGGCCAAAATATGTCTGCTGAATTTCTTAACTATCAACTATAGCTGGGGTTGTATGGAATGAGTTGGGTGCAATTGATGAAGATTATGCCATGGTTAATGTCAGCACACCACGACCGCAAACTCCACCATCCAGTTCAACTCAAGTACCGGCTACTGCCAACCGTACTAAGACTTGAAACCTAAAAATGATTCTTGCTGAATCTAATTGCAGAAGTGCACTCTTTTTTTCTGAGAACCTATGATGTCCAACCATCTCATGTATTTGTTTCACCAGCGGAGGTTGGGTTGAAGGTTCCAGTAAGTGTTCCCGGAAGATCCATCTGAGGAACAAAGGAACAGCGGAACCAAAGATGGAGGTAGCTGCATTGTTGTACATTAATGTAATATACATATCCATGATACGGTGGCAAATAATTAAGAGGATACAATTGTTAGTACATCATGTATATTGTTAGAATTAGCAGGCTTTTCTTGTATTAACCAGGGTGAAGTAGACTGGCTAGTAATAAGTCTGGATAAGGTTGGATAGGGAGAATGTTGGGTAGTTTCAGGACCCCAAAAAAGGAAAGGATTTATGTTCTGATGCCTCGTTTTGTTTTGAATTATACTGATGAGCTATTTTCTGAACTAGAATTACCACATTTTGTGATGCCCATTTACTCTGCAAAGGGTTGGGTCTTGCCATTGATCATCAAATTATAATTTGAATTTACTCAATTCTTGTTCATGTGATTTCAAGATGCCCCAAGTCCAGGCAGTCATTTTGCATGATTACCATCTGAATCACCTAAACTGAAGTTACATTGTAGAAACTCCGAGTTCAAACACTTAGATATTAGACTTCGCAATATTGTGCACGACCCGTAACACGAGTTGAATTTCCATTGTATAAAGTCCAAGAGACTTTGGGAGAGTATATGATATATAACCATTGATTGGCAGATAAGAAAAAAGATGACTAAGAAATTATACAGCTGATTTTACAAACAAGGGAATAAACCATAACTTTACGAGCAAAACTCCTGTTTATGGATTAAGTAACCGAAGAAGTTACTTCTCCTTTTCGACTTTCTTTCCAATCCATCTGGCTACAATGGGAGTGAGAGCTACTGTTGGAGGAAACCTAATTGGAGATGCAGCCTTGTGTGCAGCATATGCCAAAGCAAATGTCCCAACCTTCTCTCCGGTCTCACTGCCGGAGATTCCCACCTGAAAAAGAAAAGCAAAAACAGTAGGTAGGATGAGAAGTCATTCTTCCATATATCTTACATGATAAAAACAAGATAAGTTTGCATTCGGTTCATATGAAGATTGCTTGCTTGTACCTTTTGCAGCAAAGCTTGGACATCAATCCCGGCGCTGACGAGTGCATAACATAACGAAAATGAGATTATGGAGAGAAAAATGGAGGTGGCCAAGTATGCCCCTCCATACTTTGCTAGCAGTTGCTTGGCATCATCTCCCTTGGACTTCTTTTCCGCACCTTCCTTTCCTTCCTCTTTTGAGCTGAATATCTGCATTTTTCCATAACAAAACTTTGTGACTACATATAGCTTACTATTTACCACTTATTTACTCAAAACTCTTTCACTGCTTTCAGCTATTAGCTCAAAACGAACTAGACCCTTTTTCCCTTGGTTAATTCATAGTATTTTCTTTCACTTAATTTCATAGCAACAAAACCAAGTTGCTGTTGTACTTTTGAATTCACACCTCTTTCTTTTTTTCTTTCTTCTTTTTTCTTTTTTCTGAATTGAATTTACTTGACATTTATCCTTCTAATAGGTAAGAAAATTAAACATTTTATAAGTAAGTATGAAAGAAACCAAATTGGCAGGCGTATACCACAAGAACAAATAAAATAAAGAGAGAGAGAGAGAGAGAGAGAGAGAGAGAGAGAGAGAGAGAGAGAGAGAGAGAGAAATGGGTACCTTCCAGAGACCAGCTTCGAGGCCATACTTCTTAGTAATTTCCTCAGCTGAATCAGCAGAAGATGGGTTTTTGATTTCCTCCTCTGTTTTCTCTTTCAGGGCTCTGACTCTGAAACGTTTGGAGTAAGAGCTGGCCTTGGATGGCTGAATTGATGCACAGCAGCCATTTCTTGATTGTCCATTGTTGTTGAAGAAGGAAGCAGAGTTAAGACAGGGGACTAGCACAGCTGTTGCCATTGTTTGCCAACCAAAACTTTCTATCTAATTCTAATCAAACATGCTTTAATTTAATGGGTTGTGTTCTGAGAAGAAATGTCTTGGAATTTAATCCCTTTGAAATTGAATTGAACCACGCAAGAAGCAGATGAAGATGCACAAGCAACTTTACTACGTGAGGCTATAAGACAATCCAAGTCGCTCTTTTTTTTTTAATCCCTTTTACGATTTCATCAATGCACAATTTTTGCCCATTGTGTGTGTAGTGGGCTTGAGATTGTCGGTTTGCATGGTTGGAGATTGTCGGTTTGCTTGACAAACACAAACCATAAAAGAAAGATATTGGGCCTCCTTTTCACGAGCCCAAATGACATCTCTCTCTTTCTCTCTCTCTCTCTCTCCACTCTCTCCACATAGTGTGCTCTTTTGTTTCGAAAAAACCAAACCCACCAAATTTTTTTGGTTGGATAACTGTTTTTATAGCCCATAAATGAACCGAAGCTAAAATTACCAAAAAAATTTGTTGTTTGGTTTTGAGAACATACAGAAGAAAAAAAACATGTATTTACTCCTACCGAACTTGCAAATTTAGTACTATTTTTAATGTTTAAACACTTAAATACATAAAATTATGTTTTAAGTGTTTAAACATTAAAAATAAGAGGTATTTAGTTATATACCCATTCTTAGCACTAGTGATATAGATAAACACTACACCATTTAATTTCTATAAACAAACCCAAAAGAGGACAGCTGGTCCTGTTGAATTTAATTCTAATTATTAAATTACTTTGATGCCGAGTGTTATTGGGTTTTTTTAATGAGGTTTTGGGGTTAGGTTTGTTCTAAGAAATCGATGACAATTTTGTAATTTATTGGAAGTTTGAAGCCTCTTTGTTATGTTGTAAATGGGTTTTGTGGTGTGTTTCTAGAGTCCATTTCATATAGGATTTTTTTTATTTCTAAAACTTGGACCCCTATATTTGGCATAATGATGGAACTCCCCTAAATATGAAAGTTTGGTATGAGTAAATACATGGTTTTTTTCATATATACTTCTCAAAACCAATGTTATGGTTTGTATTAATATACACTCAAATACGTACATTATACATATGTGTGTCTTACCAAGAAAAAAAATATTAACATGTGATGGTATTATGCTTTTACGGCTAACCATAATGGTAATTTATATTTGCAACATAAGTATGACATACCACTATTGTAGTACCAACCTGATTACAAACACTTTGGTTTGGTGGCCCAAAAATTTGTAGCTCAAATAGTAAAAGCAAGTTACTTATGTTATTGGTGTCCTATATTTAATTCACCTCAAACAGGGTGTTTCAGTAATATGCTTTAACAATGTTATCAAAACATTCTTATAAAGTTTTTAGAATAGATATTCTCAAATTGTAAAGTAATAAAAATTACCAATAGGGTGTTAGTTGGATTGACTCAGAACTTTGGTATATCCCAAATGATCCTGCGTTTAAGCCCCGTTACACCTCCCCTTAACTTAGACACAAAAATAAAGAGTAATAAAAACTGAATTTACCGTAATATAGCCAAATGCCCCAAATATTTGTGTAGATATGCACGTGGCATAAAGTAATAGGTACTTCCCAAATTATAATTGGCATATTTCGTCCTCGATCAAACTCTGATTATAACTGGTTAATTATTAATACCAAATTATAATTGGCATATTTCATCCTTGATCAAACTCTGAAGGACGTGAAGCAAATCCCTAGAGGATTAAAATTGCTTTTGCCAACAGTTACCAATTTGAACTAAAATTCCAAAGCAACAGAAACTTGAATCCCTTTGACACTCTATCAACTGCCACACTCTATGTAAATACAAACTTTTAAAACCCTCGTCTTTCAAAACAAAAGCCAACCAGACCCCATAACTATATTTTCGTTGGAGCTAAAACAGCATGGAGCCATCAAATCAACGAAGAAGGTTTTCTTGGACAAAGTTTCGGAGTCAAAGCTTCCCCGCAACCAATTCAGAGCTCAATTCTCCTTTGTTAGAATATACTTCGCTCAAGGATCTGATGCCCTCCTCAACAAGACCTAAAACTTGTTCGTCTCCAAAAGCTTTGGCTATACAATCAGCTCATCAAATCCCAATAAGCAACTTGTTGGTGCAGAAGGCTGCCTGGTGTCACGGATCGCACTTGAGCGTGTGCTTTCGTGACTCCGTTGGGACATCCATGCGCTTATGAGGTAGTCCAAGTGTGGAAGGGGCAAGGACTTAAGAGCTAGAATGGTTGGTGTTGGCCGGGTTGTGCGTGTGAGGGGTATTTTGGGTATTTCGGAAGGTTACGGGAGGAACCTGAAGGAACTCAGAACACGAAAGATGTTCGTAATGACGAGATACACGCTATGCAACTGACGGTTCGCCATTCGGAGTTCATACGAAGAAGTTATGCCCAATTATGACTCCTCGTGCATAGGTGATGTTTCCTCCTGGCAGAAGGCTAAATGCATAAAATGCTATATAGGGGGTGACATGGTGTCATGCTCTCCACCACCCCTGGTGCTTACACCCTTGTGGCACTAAGCGAGCATCCTTATGACATTGGAGGTTGTCATAAGGGCGGGCATGAGATTGTTGAAGGATAATCTATGTCTCCGAGGGAAAGGACTTCCCGAGGACAGTACGAACACGCGGGGCCGTTCGTATTGCGCATCGTTGGAAAGAGTGAGGTCAACGTATGGCATTCGCTATGCCGTCGGCTAGCGAGGCATTTGACGAGACTCGATGGACTTGGCTTGGGTTCGGCCTTGTCCAAGATGGAAGGAAGATATTCGGATGCCGGTACGCGTGGGTTGCGACCCCATGCAAAGCATAGATGGTTATGTGGGAAATTCGGAATACATATGTCGCCAAGGCTTGGGCGACATGCGAGCGTGACAGCTTGCGTGGATGAATTTACCGTAATATAGCCAAATGCCCCAAATATTTGTGTAGATATGCACGTGGCATAAAGTAATAGGTACTTCCCAAATTATAATTGGCATATTTCGTCCTCGATCAAACTCTGATTATAACTGGTTAATTATTAATACCAAATTATAATTGGCATATTTCATCCTTGATCAAACTCTGAAGGACGTGAAGCAAATCCCTAGAGGATTAAAATTGCTTTTGCCAACAGTTACCAATTTGAACTAAAATTCCAAAGCAACAGAAACTTGAATCCCTTTGACACTCTATCAACTGCCACACTCTATGTAAATACAAACTTTTAAAACCCTCGTCTTTCAAAACAAAAGCCAACCAGACCCCATAACTATATTTTCGTTGGAGCTAAAACAGCATGGAGCCATCAAATCAACGAAGAAGGTTTTCTTGGACAAAGTTTCGGAGTCAAAGCTTCCCCGCAACCAATTCAGAGCTCAATTCTCCTTTGTTAGAATATACTTCGCTCAAGGATCTGATGCCCTCCTCAACAAGACCTAAAACTTGTTCGTCTCCAAAAGCTTTGGCTATACAATCAGCTCATCAAATCCCAATAAGCAACTTGTTGGTGCAGAAGGCTGCCTGGGCTTACTTGCAGCCCATGCCAGAGCCAAGCGAAGTCGTACCGCGCTTTTCGACTACGCAGCTTTTTGGCAATCTGAAAATCTTCAGCAGAAGTGTTGTTGCTGCAATCTGGCGTGTGTTTGGTAGGCTATTAGGAGCAATTCGTATTCGTTGTTAGAAACTCACAAAGAACGTCAGTGTATTTGGGTAGTACTAGAAAATTGAAATTAGGCAACGAGTAGTTTCTTTTTCTTTTTCTTCTTCTTTTTATCTTTTGATACAAGGTGGCTCAAACTGGTACTTCTTTTACAAGTTGGAAAGAAATATCATTAGATCAATTACTAGTTGGTAATGAATAGTTTTTCTTTCTAAATGTGGTAGATTACCATTTCGGTTTCAGTTTTGTTTCTCTTCACTTTTTTCACTAGAGATAGAGAGGAAAATATATGGGAGAAATTAGGGATGAAGAAATATATGAGGGAGGAGAGAAGAATGGAGTAGAATGTATGAAACAAATACTTGAAAAAGAAAACAACTTGAAGATTGTTTTCAGCTTTTAGTTTTCTTTTCATATGTATTTCTTCAACATTCCTCTGTATCCTCTTTGATCTTTTTCTATCTCGAACAAAAATAAATAAATAAAATCTATAAAATCGGAATCAAACTGCCCTAATTTTTTTTTCCGCTATAAGCATGAGATGGTTTTGTTGATGGTGACTATTAGAATTTGCAATTTTGTCCTTTTGTATTGAAGTCGAATCTTGCCAATCTAGCTTACATTTCTGCCTTCCCTCTACTTCTGGATCCAGCCCTTTTGGGCAAATTAAATTTCTTCTACGTCAAGTAATAAGCTTCCCTAGAATCTTTTCATGTCAGTCCAAAGAAAGGATGAAAAAAGAGAGAGAATGATACTGTGTTGAGATGATTTATAGGAAATGGATTCCACAGGGACATGGATAAAGGCTTTAGGTTTTTGTAGTTAAAATACCCAAAGCCTAGATTTTTTACAGCCTTGGGCGAAAGAGTTCTGGGCTCTTGGGCCTGGTTTAATTTCTATTATTTTTTTTAGTGCCGGTTAATTCGGAAACCGTCATTATTCCCTCCAAAATCCAATTTTTTTTATTGACTCCAAATTAGTTTCATGCCAAGAATCTTAGACGTTAGTTTTCAATTTGAGTTATTATTATGCTTATTACAAAAAAGTTATACGTAACCGAAAATAAAAAAAATTTGATAATTATTTTATAAAGAAGAACAAAAATAATCAATTTTTTTTTCCTTCCAAGCTAAACAATCAGTTAGATATGTTCATTGAGAAATATTAGTATATATATATATATCCATAAATATTATTTTTATTGCTTATAAAATATTGTTTTGATAAACTTGAAAGGGAGGAATCTTATCACGAAGGTTCCCTCTGCCAAAGGTCACACATGCTTTTAAGTTTGATTTCCAATACTCTAAGTCAAATGCTTCTTTTATAAAAATAAAAAATAAAAAATAAAAAATAAAAATCCCCCCCTCTGCTTCAACAGTATTACAGAAAAAGACTCCTACCAAAAACACACCTCCTCTCTCATTCACACAAGTCTCATGCCAGAGCAAAAATATTGATTGCTGAAAAAGACTCCTACCAACAATACTTTCCCAGCTTCCTTAAACCAAAATCTCTCTCTCCCTCTCCCTCTCCCTCTCCCTCTCTCTCTCTAAAGGCAATAGTAAAAGAACTCTCTCTATATCTCCCTCCCTCCCTCCCTCCAATGTCTTCCAGCAAAAAGCCCAAGCTTATCAAAACCCTACTCACATCCAATATTGCAGGTTGTGGCTGTGGCAAGCCAAAGCTCTCAGATGTATATGAGCCAACTCCAAAACCCAAATCCCAAATCCCCCAAAACCCAACTCTCCAACGACGTTCTTCTTCAAGCTCTTGTGACAAAAATGGCAGTTTCACTGTTGATGACGACGATGATAACGACCAGTGCACCTCCACCACCATCTCCTTCAACAATAACTCCTCCTCACACCCGTCTGATTCATCAGAAAGTACAAATCCAAAGAACACCAAGTTCCCAAGCCCCAAGTGGACGAAGATCGACGACAGCATTGCTGTGGTGAAGGAATCCGACGATCCCTACCAAGACTTCAGGCAGTCTATGCTGCAGATGATCGTAGAGAAGCAGATTTATTCAAAGGAGGATCTGCAGGAGCTGCTCAGCTGCTTCCTTGAACTCAACTCTGCATCCCACCATGATGTTATCATCCAAGTTTTTACACAAATCTGGAATGATCTGATCAGAGAAAGTAAGAAACCGATCATGTGAATCCCAGCGGTGACACGTGTCATGGTCATGTGAGGCATTGAATTGATGGGCAAGTCGGAGGGGTTGGGAAAATTCATTAGCCATAAATTCATGGGGTTGGTACTCAAGATTAAAGCACATGCAGAGAGATATTGTGTTTTCCTATTTGGTGGGTTGGTGTGTATGGTGGGAGAAAAACTTACACGAAATGGGGGTGTCACTGCGGTGATATTTCAGGCCTAGCACCTATTATCATGTATTTTAATTTTCCGACATGCTTGAAATATCGCTAAAGTGACATTCCCTTTACATGTAAATTCTTCTAGTATGGTGGATAGATAGGAAATTTTAAATAGCTTAGAATTTTTTTATATAAGAAAATGAAAGGAAAATCTTTTTTTTTTGTGTGTCTGTGTTTGTATGTTAGTGTACAATTTCCAACATGGGTATTCAATACTAACCGTGTGTGGTTTTAATGAGTTTGCGGTTCAGCCATCATTGTTGCTGTTTCTATGTTTGGTTGGTGCTTGGCAATGGCATATTGGAGATATCTCAATATTTTTGTCTGATTGCATAAGCATTTACTGGCTTAGCTTTGCAGTACTTCTCATTTAGGAATACCTTCATCTTACCATAGAGTAAAGATGGTTTCTCATCAAACTTTTTTTTTTCTTTTTAAAGTGATAGTCTAAACTAGAATGGGAGGGGATTTCTCACACAAACGTTTGTGTCATGGGGATTCGAACATGATACCACTAGTCAATAAGAATGAAGGCACTTTTCCATTGGACTAGACTCGTTGGCGATTCTATCAAACTTAACATGACCTATTCATTGGTTTTTCTAAAATTAATTAGCAATGACATATTCAATGTCCACAAATGAGATAACACCTATTCACACCATCTAACTCTTGCAATTTCAATCCTTTTTTTTTCTTCTTTCAGAAACGGCAGTTTTGGAGAAATTGGTAACCCATATCCATTAATTGTCCCCTTAGGAGACCTTACAACTTAGGTTTGAGCCAAACATAGCATGGTTTGAAATGTGGGACATCAATTGTATATCAAGAATAAAGTATATGACCTGTTAAGACACTAGTAAAAAACTGATCAACACACACAATTTTTAATGGTGGCGTTTGGGAGTACTAGTAAAGGACACTGATTTTGGTGTCTATAGTCAAAAGCCATTATGCAGTCACTATTTACTTGTCGGTTGTCTAAATTGGGCTTTCTTAACTATGTGCGCAAATTTTCTTGAGTATGATCAAACAAAAAAACAAGCCTACAAAATAAATTTAGGGAGTTTCACTATTATGCCCAATATATAGGTTCAAGTTATAAAAAAAAACTTACATGAAATGTACTTTAGAAACACACTCAAAACCCATTAACATAACAAAGAGGCTTCGAACTTCCCCTAAATTACAAAACTGTCATCAATTTCTTAAAACAAGTCCAACCCCAAAACCTCATAATAAAAAACCCAAAACAATCAATATGGCGTAAAAGTAATTTAATAATCAAAATTAAATTCAATAGGGTCAGTTGTCCTTTTTTGGGTTTATTTATAGAAGGCTTATTATCACAAAACATCCCTGACGTTTGCAAAATTATCACATTGCATCCCTAACGTTTTTTTGTATCATTAATGGTCCCTAACGTTAATACAGGTACTCTTAAATAGTCCCTCTGTCAAAAAAACCGTTAAATCCAAGGGTATAATCGTCAAATCAATCCAAAACTATAATTTTTTTTCCTTCTCTTCTCTTTCTTTTCTTTTCTTCTTCTTTCTTCTTTCTTCTTTCTCTCCGCCTGGCCCCGCTCACTCTTCTTCTTTCTTTCTTTTATAGAAAGAGGCTTATTGTGAATTTGTGATGCAGAAGACCACAACTGGCTCTGTTCTTGTTATTGCTTTCACTTTTAGTCAAAAGATCCATTTTCACCAACCAAAACCCAAAAAATAAAAACCCTTTTGTGTGAATCTGTTGGCTTTTTCTTTTTTGTTGGGGGTGTTGTCGATAAACCCAAAGCAGGCAGGCATTATGAACGAGGCCAAATAACTCACGCAGATTTCAGAACCTTTGTCTTGGGTTTCTCAGTCATTTTCAGCTTCAACCATTTGGCATATAAACCCCATTGAAGGGCAGGAGCTCTCAACAGCACCTCAAATTGTGACATTTTTATTTATTGTAAAATCCGAAAGAAGGAAAGAAGAAAAATGAGGAACAAAGAAGGAAAGAAGAAAAAAAAAAGGGAGAGAAAGAAGAAACAGCGAAGGAAAAGAAGAAGAAAAGAGGAGGAAAGAGAGGAGAAAAAAAAAAGAGAAACAGAGAGAGAGAGAGAAGGGAAGGAAAAAAAAATTATAATTTTGGATTGATTTGACGATTATACCCCTAGATTTAACGGTTTTTTTTTACAGATGGACGATTTAAGAGTACATGTATTAACGTTAGGGACCATTAATGATACAAAAAAACGTTAGGGATGCAGTGTGATAATTTCGCAAACGTCAGGGACGTTTTGTGATAATAAGCCTTTATAGAAATTAAATGGTGTATGGTTTATCCATATCACTAGTGCTAAGAGTTGGTATGTAAACTAAATACCTCAATAAATTTATCACACTACTAGCAAAAGAGGCAAAACCCACAGTTCACCTATGTACATTAGTTAGGGAGTATCATTTGGCCCGCGGGCCGAAGTGGGTAGCCCGAGGTTTGATGGGCCAGAGCTTGGCATGGCCCGATGGTTAGGACCACTCGACCTGGCCCGTTTTAAGGTTAGGTAGGGGTAGGTCTTGGGCTTAGGATTTGAAACCTTCAGCCTGACACAAGTAGGCCCGCCCATTTGCCTTGTTTTGTTTTTACTTTTGCCTTATATTGCCTTATTTCCATTCCAAATGGGGGGTACTTACTTATTTACATTGTAAACTTAAGTAAATTGAGTAATATAAAAATAAATTAAAGTTAAAAGACAAGACATTTACTTAAATGGTTGGGATGAAAATAAGGCAAGGCAATATAAGGCAAAAACAAAATAGGCAATGGGCTCATACCAAATACAAAAAATTAGCCTACAAAAGCACTCAACCAAATACAAAATAGAAAGCCCAATCCAAAAAAGTTAAAAAGCTCAATTCAAATAAAATAGACTCATACCTAGAAATACATAAAACAAAAAACCCAAATCATAGAAACACTATAATCATTACAACTGGGTTGAGGCTACCTTTGATGATGATTTGTTAAGAGTTCCTAGAATTCGTAGTCTCTGTCATTTAGTTTTTGTGTGTTTAGGAGTTAATCCCCCTATTTCAACAAAATAAAAATAAAAACATATCACAGAAATACTATAACCAGGGCAGTGAGGGAGGGGCTGGAGCACATGTGTCGTCATTGTCAAAGCCATCAAACAAAGGGTAATGTCAACTCTTGATACACCCAACTAACAACTGTATATCAGATATCCATATATAAACTAGGAACGCAGATGGAGGCCTGATGTAACCAGTATCCTCGATGTACCCTAATTTTCACTTATTTAATGATTTTAAGTAATTGACTAGTCTAATATTTTGTTTAAATCAAATTCAATTATTTGGGAATTTTGTAAATCATATTTGATTTCATTAATTTAATTTTTTTTTTAATTTAATACAAGTAATTGGGAGAGAGGGATTTACACAAATATTCATTGATTGCTTGGAGGTTTCAAACCTCTGATTCAATTTAATATCCTTGGTTTGAATGAAAACCAATCGAAGTAATTTGTGTACCCTTTTTCTTTGTTATCAATTTGCTATGATGTGACCCATTATATCTTGGTTACTTCTAAGCGGTTTCGGTTCATGAAATTTCATATGGAATCCCCTTATCAAAGTTTTCCATGTAATGTAGTTTAACATTTGTTACGCCCAGATCCTGAATGCCTTGTCGAAATCATTGATATGTCACTGGCCTAAATCCTTCGAGTATTCAAAAATGAACGGAATCCCGCTAGTAAACACAAGCATATAAAAAAAATTGCAGAAACATAAAATTACAATAAAAACTAGCTAGTTCACATGCAAACTAGTGGACCAAATATACCAAATCAAATAAACGGTACCAGAATCCTACTTCCCAAGCACACAACCCAAACCATCCAATCTCAAGGAAACCTTCCATGGATCTGCAAAAATAAAAATTAAATGTGTGTGGCCTTAAGATCTATCTAATTAGCTCAATATCAGACCCAAAAAACTAACTATTTTCCCCAAGCAAAGAAAGTTAAGCCTAACCTTAATTTGTAAAACATGTAGTCTTCAAGGCCAAACTACTCCGAAAAACCTATAAGTTCTCCAATAACAAATTATAAATACCAAATTTAGGGTTGAGATATCACGACCATAAGAGAAAGTGAGAGATTGAGTGAGGGTAAAGGCAGGGTTGACGGCAATGGCTCCTTTGTCTTATCATAGACGGATGCATCTCGGCATCGGATCTCCATATGCGTCTCGGTGTCGGATCTCTACCACTATTCTTTTTGCGGTTTCTTTATATTTGGAATAAGTCACATAGACTCTTTGAGTTTTCGGTGTAGTTTTTACCTCTCCTTTTGTGAGAGTCTTTCACCTCTCTTTTGTGAGAGCTTTCCATACCTCTTTTGTGAGGGTTTTATTTATATTAATTGTTATGGCTTGGTTTTTTCAAGATTTATCTATTTTTAGTTATTCTGAATTTGCACTTTTAGTTGAGATGCTTATGCCAAAATTTCTTCGATCTTGTGTGATCGTTAGTGGAGGAGCCTTAGATTATCCTAATCTTGATATTAGATCGCTCCGTTATTGTAATGGCCCTTTATAGCTTGTGGTTTTTTTAGGTGACTTATGAATACAATTCCAGAATTTCTCACAAAAATAGAAGGTTGCAATTTGTTTTGTTTGAGTAAAATAGCGGTGCAAAACTGACAAGTGCTTATTTTAGTGATAATTTTCTTCTTAATATTGGAAGGAGAGCCTCCAAGTTCCAATCCGCATTCCATAACTTTTAAAAATAATAATAATGGCGCGTACCACAATAATCAACCTAAGGCAAGGCTTGCATTAGAAAAGAATTGTAATAATATTTACCAAATTGCCTAATGAAATAGAACAAATACAGTTATGATGTTTTCCTAAATAAATAAATAATTTTGTTTGTGCTGGGGCCTTTGGCGCCCCCTTTGTTCATAAAAAAAATAAATTATCTACACCCTAAATATAAAAAATCAAGCCATTGCCAATCCAAACAACTTTCCCGCGTGCTTCTCCACCTCGTCATAATTATCGAAACACTTTTTCGTAATCTGCTGAAACGTATGCAACGTCAGCAAGCTATCTGAACCGGCCTGGTGGCACTTCCCGACCGCCCGGTTCACCTCCAAACGTTTCGCAACTTGCTCCAACCCTCCGTACAAGCCATCACAAAAGCGGATCATGTGCTTCACGTCGTAAACTCTATTTCCGAAATAGACCCTCACAATTTTCAAAAACTCCTCCAAGTCTTTCAAGCCACTTGGCAATTGCTGGCCGGTCAAAATCTTGACCAGGTACCCGAAGTCGTACGCGCTATGGAACGTGACCCAGCTCACCGACTCGTTCAGGACGAGCCCCGATGACATCAGCAGCGCAGCGAACCGGGCAGAATCGATCCCCTCGGACCGGTTGCGGTCGAAGTCGATGCCCTGGCGGCGGAGGAGGGCGATGGAGTCGGGAGCGTGGGGGTCACGAGCGACGTCGAAGTCGCTGAAGTTGAACTCCCAGATGAAGCTCGTGGAGGAGGAGCCGAGGTCGGGGAGGTTGCCGTCGGGGTCGGACAAGGTGAGGCCCACCTGGATGAGGCTGAGGGCGTCGACGTTGGATTTGAGAGTCTTGTAGTGATCGGAAGGCTGTAAATCATGGCTGTACGGCGGCCGGAATATCAGTCCCGGAAACTCCGTGTCCATTGAGATGTAAGTGTAGTCGTCGATCACGGAGCGTATCAATTCGAATTCGGATTCTAAATTATGAGCCCACACCTGCCGGATCGTGATGGGCTTGGGACTTGAGCTCGAACTTTGATCCTCGTTGACGTACATGTTTTAGTGAGAAATTAATTACGTCTTTACCAAATAGTAAAGATGGGACGAAGACTGATTCTGAATCGACGGAGAAAAAGCCTTGCGGGTATTGGATGAGTGAAGAGTGGCGTGGGGGTGTGTGGTTTTTATATGGAGATAGGAGGAGGGTGAAAAGGGATGTTGCCTGGAAAAAGAGGGAAGTCAAATTACTTCTGCGTGTAGGAGAAGAGAGAGAGAGGGGGTTTTCTTTTAAGAGTGTTGGATTAACGGAACAGAAATGCTCCTATTGGCTGTTGCCTTTCCCTTTTTATTTTATTTTTTCTTGTTTTTGTTTCTTTCTTTCTTTTTCTCTCCCTCTCTCTCTCTCTGTCGCTTTCTTTCCAATTTCCAATTCTTATATTTTTCTTTCCTGGTTTGGTTTGTTTATTGAAAGTGGGTTATAAGTTGTAAACAGGTGGGGCCAACTGGGATGCTGATTGGATTGGGATTATATTCAGTGTATGGATAGGAAAAAAAAACTTACTAGGATAGTACTATTTTGCTATTCATGATTAATAATATAATAATATGTTGAAAAATTATATTACGTGTCATTATATTATTAATCAAAAATAATAAAAAAGTATTATACTAGAATTTCTCTCATAGATAGGAGTATTATTGGTTAGGTGATGTTGGCGTTCGGGTGGAAGCAAAGAAAAATACTGCCCACCACGTCAATCTCCTTTTATTTATCTATTTTGCTGTGTTTTAAATTGTTTGTTTTCGGGATAGAGAATTGGCTTTAATATTTTGTCCTTATTTATATCACTCAATTCAGTCTCCATGTAATATGTGAATGTGGTCAAAGTCAATATGGGTTGCACCAAGAAAGTGGCGGTACTTTCTAGTCTTCAATTTCAAGTTTAAAGTCTTTATTGCTTTGAGAGTATTTTTGCTCATTACTTTAATTCAAGGTGTATCATCACCACCATTCTCAATATTTGACACGTCTCTATTGACATAATCATGGTTGCATAAATACAAAGTAAATAGTTAACTATAATTATGCCAAGGGACACGCGACAAGTGTTGAGAAAAGTAGTGAGAGTACACCTTGGGTTAAAGTGGTGAGCAAAAATATACCATATTGATTTAAGGTTTAGGGTTGTGTTCGAGAACATCAAATCAGCTAAGCCTACTCTTCATCTTTTTTTCTGCCACAATGCAATGGAGGATCCCAATTTGGGCAAGTTTCATATTTGGATGGAAAACAATTCCTAAACATAACCTATTTTCATCTATTACTCCTACACTAATGTATGACTGCCCACACTCACATAATAATTTGTTTATGTATTATAGGGTGAATCAAGAATTAGTCTGCGTAATTAATTTTGTAATTTTTATTATGGAGTGTTTCCAATGAATTAACTTGATCATCATAAAGTTATTGACAATTGTGATGCGTTGCTTGTTTGTGCAAGAATTATGTTCCCACACCCCCTATTATCTAAAAATAGGAGCATCAGAACCAGAACAACTGTTAGCATTTTATACTAAATAAGAATAGATATTTAGTTATATACTCATTCTTAGCACTAGTGATATAGATAAATCCTGCACAATTTAATTTCTATAAACAAACCTAAAAATCGACAGCTAACCCTGTTGAATTTAATTGGGAGATTCACTGTTGTACTCAATATAGGGGCCCAAATTCCATTTATACAGAATGGTAGAGAGGTCCTAAAGCTCATTTATAACACAACAAAGAGGCTTCGAAGTTCCTATAAATTACAAAATTGTCATCGATTTCTTAAAACAAGCCAAGCTCCAAAACCTCATATAAAAAAACTCAAAACACTCAGTAGGCATCAAAGTAATCAAAATTAAATTCAATAGGGCCAGCTGTCATTTTTTGGGTTTGTCTATAGAAATTAAATGATATATGGTTTATCTATATTATTAGTGCTAAGAATGGGTATATAACTAAATATCTCAATTTCATTTTGATTATTAAATTACTTTGATACTTTGTTAAGTGTTTTGGGTTTTTTTATATATGAGGTTTTGTAGTTGGGCTTGTTTTAAGAAACCGATGGCAATTTTAGGCATAATAATAATGAATCCCTCGATTTGAAAAGCATGCCAACATTAATAAATATTTTAATGATCACTATTTAAACATAAAGAAAGAAGTGATAGTGAAGTCATTCGGCTGTTACATTATGCACGCTTAAAATCATGTGAATAGTGAAACAAGAAAGAACAAGGAAACTCATACTTCAATTATTGGCCTTTCGATTTCGACCAAGAGAAAGACTTTGATGATTGGCATACGCGTTTATTAATCTCCTTTTTCTACCCAATTCAATAAATAAAAAATTCCAAATCCAACTGAAACTGTACCCAATTTTGGACAACATGATTTGGACTAGAGCCTCAAGTAAAGGGTTTCTGACATAAAGTTCTGATTATTTTTTTTGGTTACAATAAATTTCTAATTTTTCAATTGATCTAAGAGCATATCCAGCGCTTGCATCCAACCGGGCAGGAGGCCCCCCAGTCAAGCCCAGCAAGGCTCCAGCGCGAGAGAAGAAGCTCGGGCAAGACCTGGGTCCCACCAACCTAGGGGGGCAATTTCTGCCTGGGCTCTAGCCTAAAGGCGCTGACATCAGCGAGCAAAAAAAATCGAAAAAAATTTCAATTTTTTTTTTTAAAAAAAAAACCAAATTGGGGTGGATTCTTTTTTTAAAAAAATTACAAATTTTTTTTATATATTTTGTTACATAATCTTTTTTTTTTTTCCCCTTGCCCTAGCCTTTTGGGGTGGAGCCAAAAAAGGCAAGGCTGCCACTATTCACATGAATAGTCCCAGCCTTTGCTTGACTTAGCCTTTCTGGGTGGACATGCTCTAAAGATGGGGTAAGGTGGGATGGTTAAGGCAAGAGCAGAACCAAATTTTTTTGACTTGTGGGCTAGTTAAATTTTTTAGATTAAATTACAATTTCTAGAATAAAAATATATATTAAATCATACCAAAAATAAATACTTATTAAATGCAACCTAAAATTACATATAATCAAAATGAATATATATTCAGCAACATAATTGAACGTATATCTATTCAAATTGTGCCTTGTGATCTTGAGAGAATTGAAATATTTTGGGATCCTGAGCCTCTGTACTTAGAGAGTACGTATTTACCTACATTTCATAAAATCTAAACATTCAAATCATCTAACAACTTAAAGCAAGCCAAATCAGCTAAATATGTTTTTGCCTTTATTAACAATAATAGCATTCGTTACTCTGTGTTTTCTCCTAAGAACCAACTTCATTGTCACTCTCCATCTTTTCCCTTTCTTTTTCTGATGAATAATAAAAAATTCCCAACCCGATCCTAAGAAACACCAACCCATTTCAAATTACCAAGCCTGCTTCTCAACCGACTCTGTAATTTACACAAACAGAAGGCCACTTCCATAATAGCAATTTTATAATAATCCTCCTTATCTCAAATTGGAAGATCTGTTATGGGATAGGGTGAGGGAATCTACCATCATACAAAAAAAATAAGATATGAGTGAAATTAAAAATAAATAAATAAATTCTTCTCTATAATGGAATAAAATTGGGGATATGGAGGAGGATGGAAATATTGGGTGGTTGCCATGGAAGCTGATGACAAGCAGTCATGAGGAGGATGAATTGGAATAGGAATTAGATGGCTCGAAAGGAGGAAATCTGGCAAGTGTTGGAAGATGAATGCGTAGTCCTTAATGGAGTTATAGTCATGATGAGGATTATGGATACAAGGGTTGAGAGACAGAGGGACTGTTACTGTCAATTTTTAAAGAAAATTACAAACAAATCTATACACTAGCTGATGCGGCTTGCTTTAAGTCGTTAGATGATTTGAATGATTGAGATTTTATAAAATGCGAATAAATAAATATTCTCTAAATGCAGAGGCTCCGGATCCTTATAGTTTTTGTATATGTTCGAATGTCTAACAGTACTTTATAGAAGTAGTCCTAAATTATCAAATTCCCATTATAAATTGTTATACCAAAAAGAATTGTTTATCTTATTAATTAAATTGCCCCAATTAAGAAAGCAAATAAATTTAATAAACAAATTAATTTATAAATTTTTGTATCTTTAAATGATCAAAACACTTCCAACCCATACAACACTCCAGCGTGTTGCTCAGGCCCGCCATGCACAAAATACACATCCCTCATCTTCTGAAACGCATGCCATGTCAGCAAGCTATCCGAACCGGCCTGGTGGCACTTCCCGACCGCCCGGTCCACTTCTAAGGTTCTAGCAACCCGGTCCAACCCGCCGTACAAGCTCTTACAGAAGCGCATCATGTGCTTAACGTCATAAACTCTGTGTCCGAAAAAGACCCTCAAAATCCTCAAAAACTCGTCCAAGCCACTGGGCAAGTTCCGGCGAGTGAGAATTTTGACCAGGTAGCCGAAGTCGTACGCGCTGTGGAACGTGACCCAACTCACCGAGTCGTTGCAGACGAGCCCCGAGGACATCATCAGCGCGGCGAACCGGGCTGAGTCGACTCCTTCGGACCGGTTGCGGTCGAAGTCGATGCCCTGGCGGCGGAGGAGGGCGATGGAATCGGGAGCGTGGGGATCACGCGCGACGTCGAAGTCGCTGAAATTGAACTCCCAGATGAAGCGCGTGGGGGAACCGCCGAGGTCGGGGAGATTGCCGCGGGAGTCGGAGAGGGTGAGGCCCACCTGGATGAGGCTGAGGGCGTCGACGTTTGATTTGAGGACCCTGTAGTGATCGGACGGCCGGAGTTGGTGGCTGTATGGCCTCGTGGGGTCCACGGCCGGGCGGAAGATGAGGCCCGGGAACTCGGTGTCCATGGAGATGAAAGGGTAGGCGTCGATGACGCTCTGGATCAGCTCGAATTCGGATTCGAGATTGTGGGCCCACACTTCCCGGATCACGATTGGTTTTTGTTTCGGATTCGGATCTTCGCCGTCGCCGCCGCCGCCGTACATGTCTGGATCCAGGAAGAAAATAATTGAAGAGAAATATTTTATTGTTATTTATGATTTTTGTTTTTGCTTCGGAGCTAAAGAGAAGTTGTGAATATTTGAGTGGGTTTTGGGGGTTTATATATATATGGAGAGACAGAGGAGTGAGAGGAGGGAGGGATGGTGCTTGGAAATTGGATGAGCAGAGTGAGAGAGAGAGAGAGAGAGAGAGAGAGAGTGCGTGTATGAGGTCAAGTGTGTTGGATGCGTTTTGTTGTCTCTGTTGACCGTGGACTAGTTTGTAAGTAACAGTAATGTATAATAATTTATGAGAATTGGTCCAGGTTGGCCTCTTCTTCTTCTCTATCATTCTGTCCCTTTCCTTCCTTCCCAATTCAATGAATCATTGGATTGGATGAGTGAATCTTTTCTATACACAGTGTTCTTCTTCTTTTCTTTGTAATTGAACTATTCTTTTTCTTGGTACTATTTTCAATCAATTGTCCTTCTCTGCTTGTGTGTTTCTACTAATTTATATCGGCGATAATGAAAGAGCGGGGAATAAAATGTGCATAGGTAAATTTGAGAGTTAAAATCTAAAATTTAAGTGAGAAACGTGCGTGGTCAGCCTTTTCACTAGCATAATCTCATTACATCTCAAAGAGAGATGTTAATACGTTATTTATACTCATGTAAAAGAGTGAGGATGCACTATGGACACCAAAACTTTACGTATCAAGAAGAGAAATTCATGATCAAATTTTATTGATACAAAAAAGGAAGACTGAAAAAGACTGCATTCTTCCGTTTGAAAACGTCTTCGTTTGACCAAATAGACTTACGAGTCTTACAGAGAAACTCGCATTCTTTTGATAAACTCTTCCAAATTATAAGATAATTGCGCGTTTCCAACAAGACTGTCTACAGTACTACTGTAGGCAGAAAAGGATAAAAAAATAATAATAAATAAATCCATGAAATGAAAATAGGCCAACTAACTCTTTCTTCTTGGTCAACAATATCAGCCAACTTGAAAAGATTGCTTTCAAGGTTAACAACTTCTCTTTGTTATTTGATTTTGGATCAGTGGTCAACTATACGTTGACCAATACCACACATAGAAATAGTGCATTATTTTAGTGTAATGGAACACCCACACACAGAAATGTATTAAAAACAGTTAGTTGGATTTAGTATTTAAATGATGTAATTAGAGGTCGACGGCAAGCCCTATGGGAATAAAAGCAATGATATTTAGAAGCACGTTTAAAAGCATGTCAAGGAAAGCCTTTGGAATCTGTATATCAACTTCCAGCCGGCTTCTTGCTTCATCAGGACATGAGTTTTACCCAAAAAGACAAAAAAGAAAGAAAAAAAACGTGGGCTTGAACCAAGCTAAAACGTTGATTTTTTAAAATCAATTTTTATTCTTCTTTTGTACTTGTGCTGATTGGCCCACCAAGCTAAGGTTAGGGGCCGATTGGTATACACGTAACTGTTAGAAAATTTTCAATTTAATATTCATTTCTAAATAAGTTTCCTTATTCTTCCTGGATTATTCAATTTCCTTAGAACATAAGGAGTGACCAATTTCCTTAGAGCATAGGGAGTGACCGCAATTTAGTTAAGGCATAGGGAGAAGGGTACTGTTATCTATAAATAGAGATATTCTCATGCCATTGATGAATGCATACGGAAATTTGCAACACATTGTCAGGTTTTAGATTCTCCAGGCGAGTAAACCCCAGCCATGGCTTCCTTCAAGGACGCAGACCCAGCCCTAGGGTTCTTAACCCGAAAGGATGCCGACGTCATGCTACCACGACCCACTAGGGTTAAGAACAAAACCCCAGCCCCTGTTCAAATTACCGCAGAGCAAATCCTCCGTGAGGCACGTGAGCGCCACGAGGCTGAAATCCGACCTCCCAAGTAGAAGATCACTGATCCCTCCGAGCTCGCAGATTACCGCCTCCGAAAGCGCAAGGAATTCAAAGACCAAATCCGGCGCCTGAGGGGGAATGTCAGATATTGGATCAAGTATGCGCAGTGGGAGGAGTCCCCCATAAGGACTTCGAACGTGCTCGCTCTGTTTGGGAGCGTGCCCTTGAGGTCGATCACCGGAACCCTACCCTGTGGCGCAACTATGCTGAGGCGGAGATGAAGAACAAGTTCATCAACCATGCAAGGAACGTGTGGGACCGTGCCGTCACCCTCTTGCCTAGAGTTGATCAGATTTGGTACAAGTATATTCACATGGAAGAGATTATAGGGAATGTGGCTGGTGCTCGGCAGATATACGAGAGGTGGATGAATTGGATGCCGGACCAGCAAGGCTGGCTCTCCTTCATCAAGTTTGAGCTTCGCTATAATGAGATCGAGCATGCTAGAGCGATTTTCGAGCGTTTCGTGCAATGTCATCCGAAAGTTGGTGCTTGGATTCGGTATGCCAAGTTTGAGATGAAGAATGGTGAGGTTGCGAGGGCAAGAAATGTATATGAGAGAGCAGTGGAGATCATGGGCGATGATGAGGAGGCCGAGCAGTTATTTGTGGCTTTCGCTGAATTTGAGGAGCGGTGCAAAGAAACTGATGGAGCAAGGCGTATTTATAAATTTGCACTTGATCATATACCCAAACGAAGGGTTGAGGATTTGTATAAAAAGTTTGTGGGTTTGGAGAAGCAATATGGAGATAGACAAGGCATTGAGGATGCGATTGTGGGAAAGAGGAGATTTCAATATGAAGATGAGGTTAGGAAGAATCCTCTTAATTACAATTCCTGGTTTGATTATATAAGGCTAGAAGAGAGTGCAGGAAATAAGGACAGAATTAGAGAGGTTTATGAGAGAGCTATTGCTAATGTTCCTCCTGTGCCGGAGAAGCGGTATTGGCAGCGCTACATTTACTTGTGGATCAATTATGCACTATATGAGGAGCTTGATGCTGGAGACATGGAACGTGCACGAGATGTATATAGGGAATGCCTTCAACTAATTCCTCACGAGAAGTTTTCATTTGCGAAAATATGGCTTCTCGCTGCCTTGCTTGAGATACGATAGCTGAAGCTCGAGGGTGCACGCAAGATCCTTGGTACTGCAATAGGCAAGTCACCTAAAGATAAGATATTTAAGAAGTATATTGAGATTGAGCTGAACCTTGGGAATTTCGATCGATGTCGGAAATTGTATGAAAAGCATCTGCATTGGTCCCCAGAAAATTGCTATGCGTGGACCAAGTATGCAGAGTTAGAGAAATCTTTGTGTGAGACAGAACGGACTAGGGCGGTTTTTGAACTTGCCATCACCCAACCAGCACTTGACATGCCTGAATTGTTGTGGAAGGCATACATTGACTTTGAACTATCAGAGGGTGAATTTGAGAGAGCTAGAGAACTTTACGAGAGACTCCTAGACCGAACAAAACACCTAAAGGTGTGGATCAGTTATGCGAAATTTGAGGCATCTGCTATAGTGGAAGCAATGTGTTCAGAAGACCAGGATCAGGATTATCTTCGTGAACAAACGAAGCAATGTGTTCAGCGTGTTCGAAGAATATTTGAGAAAGCTTTTAACTATTTTAGAACTTCAGCACCTGAGTTGAAGGAAGAACGGTGTCTCTTGCTTGAAGAAATGTTGAATGTGGAGGCTAGCTTTGGAGATCTCGGTGATGTTTGCTTAGTCCAGTCTAAGCTTCCAAAGAAACTTAAGAAGCGGAGGCCAATAGTAACCGAAGATGGCCCTGCTGGATATGAGGAATACATTGATTACAGCTTCCTAGAAGAAGCACATACCCAAAACCTCAAGATATTGGAAGCTGCCTACATGTGGAAGAAGCGAAAGGTGGTTTAGGAAATAAGAAAAGGAAGAACATTTTGTTTTCCCTTAATAGCAATGATGTTTATTTCTCTGATGTGGTTTGCAGATGTTAGAATGCACTAGAGATTAGCGTGTATTTGTAGAATTATGGATTTATGAATGAATGCACTAGAGATTAGCATGTATTTGTAGAATTATGGATTTATGAATCGTTCCATTTATAAGTTGGGAAGCTTCCAGTTTTCTTTGTAGAGCATAGTCCGCTTGAAACGTAGATTGGTTTGTATGATGTGCTAACATCTTTCCAGCTAATGTACCTGTATGCTTAATTATAATAATCATTCTCTTCATAGTCATTATGTATTTTCAATTGATCAATTATTTTCATTTTATAATTACTTATATGATATGGTTTGTTCATTTGATGCTAATTTTTTGAATAAACTGAATGGTGGATTAGCAGCTAAAACGGAAGAGTGATGCGGCAGATTACGAAGCTGAGTCTAGTGATAGGACAGCTGCTCCTGGCTGAAGTAGTTACCAGCCCCCTCCAGACTCCCGTGTCAAGCAAGGTGGGAAAGGCAAACAAAACATCAAGGCTGACAAAGTGCAGCAGATCTGGACCACAGACTCCGGCTTTCAATGTGGGTGAGTGTTACTTAAATCTGTCAAGTGTGCTCCCATACTTGTAGTTCTATTATATATGCGAGGTAAGGTTTAATTGAGATTTGAAGAATGGATTAGTTGTGTTCCGAAAAGAATGAATTGGCTGATACTATTAGAATTTATGGGATGTGTTTGCTTGATTGCTCCCATCTAATCTGTATAATTGACAGGTTCTCCTTCTGGGGCTAATCTTACTCCGGCCGGACCTTGTCGTTTTGACAGCTCCCTAGGTAACAGAACAATTTCCTATGTTTTTTGTTAACTGATTTTATCGTTTAGTTATTTAGGTTCTTCATGAGAAAAGCAAGTTAATTTTTTCATTTGTTGTGCAAATATTATGGCAATGTCCTATTATTGCCATTCAGGTCTCTCATAACAAAAAAGTTTATCAATCTGATCAAACGTGCGGAAGATGGTATTCTGGATCTCAATAATGCTGCTGATACTTTAGAGGTGACTATTTTCCTATCTGTTGTAATGTATTCTATGCCAAGGATCTGTAAATTATAAGTGCTTTTTTTTATGTAGGTGCAAAAGAGGCGGATATATGATATAACAAATGTTCTTGAAGGAATTGGTCTCATAGAAAAGAAGCTCAAAAATAGAATTCAGTGGAAGTAAGGGATTAGTTGTATTTGTTTCCTGAAATTTTAACAGCTATTTTTCCACTTTATTAAGTTGTAAATATTCAATTATCCACTGTACATTAGAAGTTACTCAAAATTGAGTGATTGGTTGATTAGGGGACTTGATGTCTCGAGGACAGGAGATGTGGACGAAAATTATCCTAGTTTACAGGTACGGAAAAAAGTGAACTTGTTGCTTGGCATGCTCATGCTTGGATAGCTTGGTCTTGGCTCAGTGTTTGAGACTGTATGTTTGTTTGCTCAAAAGTACCAATGCTGTTGGTGTTTGTGCTATTATGTCCTGTTATTTGTTGTTTTTCTGTTCTCTCTTCTTTTTGGACGTGCCAATCCCCAACCTCGCTATTATTGTTGATTCCAAACCTAGACTGAAAGTGTTAGCTGATTAAAAAGGATGCATTTACTTGCAAGGAAGTAAATAACAATATAAATCTGAAGTCAACATCCCTTTTACTGACTGGTTGGGTTTTCTGTGCAAATTGCTTTCCATATTTGAACTTCAGCATGATATCGTTACTGGTCATGTTACCTAAGTCTACATGTTTTGTCCAGTTCCAATGCATTCAAATATGAATAACTGGCATGACAAAGCGGGGATTTTATGTTCTTGACTCGAATAGTTGAGCTTGCTAGATTTCAGTCCGCATGTTTTGTCCAGTACCATTTTTCAGCGTAATGAATTCAGATATGAATGATTGGCATGACAAAGCAGGATTTGTGTTCTTGATTAGATTACTTTGACAAGACTTGTTTTTGGTTGATCGTGCTAGATTTCAGTCCACATTTGTCCAGTTCCAAGTTTGTGTGATGCATTTGAATTTCAATGATTGTCATGAAAAAAATCAGGATTTGTGTTCTTGGCTGGAAAGAGTTTCCAAGGCCTTTGTTTGGTTGAGCTTCCTAAGATTAGTGTCATGGTTGATTAAGACTAGAGACAATGGATCATACATAAAATCTGTCAACTATTCATTGCACGTCATAGCAAAAATCACTAGTAAAAAAAACCCCTTGCGCGACGAAACACAATTCGTCACTCAAAGTGACTTTGCGCGACGAAAATTAAACTTCGTCCCTCAAAGTCTTACGCGACTAAATTTTGCGCAACAAAACACAAATCGTCGCACAAAGTCACTTTGCGCGACGACAAAACATCGTCGCTCAAAATAACTTTGCGCGACGAAACAATAAAATTCGGTGCACAAAGTCTTGCGCGACGAAGTGTGGTTCGTCTCGTAAAGTCTTTACAAAAATAAACAAAATAAAAAATTATTTGTAAAAATCTTTGCATGACTTTGCGCGACGAAACAATAAAATTCGGTGCACAAAGTCTTGCGCGATGAAGTGTGTTTCGTCTCGCAAAGTCTTTACAAAAATAAATAAAATAATTTTTTTTATAAAAATCTTTGCATGACTTTGTGCGACGAATTTCTAAACTTCGTCTCGCAAAGTCTTTACAAAAATAAAAATAAATAAATAAAAAATTATTTTGCTAGAAAAATATAATATTTTAAATGTATTATATTTTAAATTGACGATCAAATTGGTTCATTGTATTCATATAGGGTCAAGGAATGTAGCTATAAAAAATCATCAAAATCGAAATTGAAATAACCGTTAAATCGTCATTTTTCGTTTATAACCGTCGAAAAGTTTTATCCTATTACTTGATCTCTGAATGTTTATTTTTTCCGATTTTTGGCGTATATGATCTTGAAGTACAAACAAACAAGTTTGACGGTTGGATCTTTGAAACTAGTTTCATAGAATGCGTATGCCATCAAAAAAATATATTCACTAACAATTAAGATTATTTATACTTTTATTAATTATAGCATAAGATTTTGTGGTATCCACTAGTGTAAAATTTTTAAATTGAAGATCAAATTGAGTCATTGTATTCATATAGGTTCAAGGAGTGTAGCTGTAAAAAATCATCAAAATCGGAGTTAAAATAACCGTTAAATCGTGATTTTTGTTTATAACCATCGAAAAGTTTTGTCCCATTACGTGATCTCTGAATGTTTATTTTTTCTGATTTTTAGGGTATACAATCTCAAAATATAAACAAACAAGTTTGACGGTTGGATCGTTGAAACTAGTTTCATAGAATACATATGCCATCAAAACAATATATTCACTAACAATTAAGAGTTTATTTATACTTTCATTAAATATAACATAAGATTTTGTGGTATCCACTAGTGTAAATATTTTAAATTGACGATCGAATGCAGTCATTGTATTCATATAGGGTCAAGGAGTGTAGCTGTAAAAAATCATCAAGATCAGAGTTGAAATAACCGTTAAATCATGATTTTTCGTTTATAACCGTTGAAAAGTTTTGTCCTATTACTTAATCTCTGAATGTTTATTTTTTCCGATTTTTGGTGTATATGATCTCGAAGTGTAAACAAACAAGTTTGACGGTTGGATCGTTGAAACTAGTTTCGTAGAATGCGTATGCCATCAAACCAATATATTCACTAACAATTAAGAGTTTATTTATACTTTCATTTAATATAACATAAGATTTTGTGGTATCCACTAGTGTCAATATTTTAAATTGACGATCGAATGCAGTCATTGTATTCATATAGGGTCAAGGAGTGTAGCTGTAAAAAAATCATCAAAATCAGAGTTGCAATAACCGTTAAATCTTGATTTTTCATTTATAACCTTCAAAATGTTTTGTCCCGTTACTTGATCTCTGACCGATTTTTGGCGTATATGATCTCGAAGTGTAAACAAACAAATTTGACGGTTGGATCGTTGAAACTAGTTTCGTAGAATGCGTATGCCATCAAAACAATATATTTACTAACAATTAAGAGTTTATTTATACTTTTATTAAATATAACATAAGATTTTGTGGTATCCACTAGTCTAAATATTTTAAATTGACGATCGAATGTAGTCATTGTATTCATATAGGGTCAAGGAGTGTAGTTGTAAAAAATCATCAAAATCAGAGTTGAAATAACCGTTAAATCTTGATTTTTCTTTTATAACCGTCGAAATATTTTGTCCCATTACTTGATCTCTTAGTGTTTATTTTTTCCGAATTTTGGCGTATATGATCTTGAAGTATAAACAAACAAGTTTGACAGTTGGATCATTGAGTAGCTTTAAATTTGTTTATTTTGTACGTATAACACTTAAGAAATTGAATAGTATATATATTTATTAGTAGCTTTAAATTTTTTTTAATACTTTGCAGGACCAATATAATAATTCATCGCGCAAAGTATACTCCAAAAATTTGGTCGGGTACCAAAAATGCGAATTTATTTTAAAAATTTTTTTACGACTGCGCGCGACTAATATATCGTAGTTCGTCGCGCAAAGTATACTCTAAAAATTTGGCGAGTACCAAAAATGGGAATTTAAAAAAAAAAAAAAAAAATTACGACTTTGCGGGACGAATATATAGTTCGTTGCGCAAAGTTTTGAGGGACTAATATATAGTCGTTCGTCGCGCAAAGTATACCCGAAAAATTTGGGCGGGGTACCAAAAATGCGAATTTTAAAAAAAAAAAATTACGACTTTGCGGGACAAATATATAGTTCGTCGCGCAAAGGTTTGTGGGACCAATATATCATCATTCGTCGCGCAAAGTATACCCGGAAAATTTGGGCGGGTACCAAAAATGCGAATTTTTTTTGAATTTTTTTTAAAAAAATTACGACTTTGCGGGACGAATATATAGTTCGTCGCACAAAGGTTTGTGGGACCAATATATAATCATTCATCGCGCAAAGTATACCCGAAAAATTTGGGCGGGGTACCAAAAATGCGAATTTGTTTTAAAAAATTTTTCCCAACATTGCGCGACCAATATATAGCAGTTCGTCGCGCAAAGTATACTCTAAAAATTTGGCGGGTACCAAAAATGGGAATTTGAAAAAAAAAAATTTACGACTTTGCGGGACCAATATATAGTCGTTTGTCACGCAAAGTATACCCGAAAAATTTGGGCGGGTACCAAAAATGGGAAGCGGGAATGTTGTGGTTGCACAAAACTTTGAGCGACCAAAATTTCATCGGGCAAAACCCTAAAAATTTGGGTGGGTACCAAAAATGGGAATTTTTTTTTAAAATTTTTTTCGAGACTTTGCGCGACCAATATATTGTTTCGTCGCACAAAGTGATATGGTTTTTAAAACCAAAATAACAACTCCACCATTTTCTCAATGTCTTCTACTCTTACCTCTCCTCTTTCTTTCCTTCTCCCCAAATCCTACCCTTTCTCTCACACTCACTCCTCTCACTTAATCTCTCATCTCTCTCTTAACTATCTCTCACTCTCACTCACTCTCTTATCTCTCTTTTCATCATCTCTCACTCTCACTCACTCTTTCATCTCTCTCTCTCTCTCACTATCTTCTCTATTCTCTCACACACACTTCTCCCTCTCATTCTCACTCACTCAAAATCTTGCCAAAAGGTATGTTCTCTCCAAACTTTAATTTTTTTTTTCATTCATATGTGTTTTTGGAGTTAGTTTTGAGTTTATGCCAATTTTTTGTTATTTGACAATATTTGTTTTTTTTGTAGGGAATCGTCGAGACTTTGACGGCTAAAGTTGAGGATTTGGACGCTATCGCAACATATCCTCCGCCACTACCACCACAATAGGCTTGTAGATTTTATTATTATACTTTGTTAATTTATGTGTACATTTTGAATATTATATATATTGGATAATTTGACCACTATTTTTCATACGTAATTTTATTTTGAATATGTCAATTTAAATTAAAGTAATTAAAAAAAATAAAATCATACAATTAAATTAAATTAAAAAAGTAAAAATTTGAAAAATTAATATAATGAAATTGATATAAGAGAAATAATAAAACAAAATGTCAAAAACCTTGGGCGACAAAATATTTCGTCGCACAAACTATTAAACTAGTTTATTTTAATTAAAAAATTTTAAAAATTAAAAAATTAAAAAAATTGAATATTTCATCGCGCAAAGATTTGCGTGACATTAGGATTCGTCTCGCAAAGTGTATTTGTGCGACGTTAACTTTCGTCGCGCAAATATTCGTTGCGCAAAGTGTATTTGCGCGACGTTAACTTTCGTCGCGCAAAGTAATTAATATTCGTCGTGCAAAGTGTATTTGCGCGACGTTAACTTTCGTCGCGCAAAGTTGATAGTATTCGTTGCGCAAAGTAGTTATAATTCGTCGCGCAAAGTACCTTTGAGCAACGTTAGTATTCGTCGCGCAAAGTTGTTATCGTTACTTTGCGCGACAAAAAATAATTTTCGTCGCGCAAAACCTTTCTTTACGATCCTTGCACGATAGAACTTGCGCGACCAAAATTTCGTCGCGCAAACTTTGCGCGACGAAATTGTACTTTGCGCAACAAAATTCTTTCGTCGCACAAAGTGTTTTTTGTAGTAGTGAATAATGTTTGCCAATTCTGAAGTACAGATATGACCTCATTCACAATTTCCTTTTTATCCCAGGCACAAGTTGAAAACCTATCTGATGAGGAGCGCAGATTGGATCAGCTAATAAGGTTAATCCTTGGCTGATGCTACTTTTTCGTTCTCTGCTATTGTTATTTGTTGTTTTGTGCTGAAGCTATTAAATTGTCCAGAGAAATGCAGGAAAGGTTGAGGGACCTGAGCGAAGATGGAAGCAATAAGAAGTAAAGTTTTATCCTTTAATGTTCAGTATTCAATTACATTCCATGGAAGGTCATCACTGGCTAGTTTTTAACATTCTATTTTTAGCTTACCTTGTTGCAATTTATGCAAACACTTATCTCAGTTTTCCTTTTTACTTTGGAATATGGCTTTTTGTCACTGAAGAAGACATCAAGGGCTTACCTTCAGGGAGTAGATTTTAAGGCTGGAGAGCCAAGCCAAAAGGGTTTTGTGCACAAGGATACCAAACAGCTCATGTATGTCTTTTTGTTGGGTTTGCAATGGCCAAAAGTTGAAATAATGCAAGATGAAAGGTTATTTTGGTTGATGTTTTTTGTTGGAGAAGTTGTGAAGTTTTCCTATGCACAATATCATTTTCTTAGTTCTTTCGCGCCAAGGACTGGCCCCCACAAGTGACATACGGTCTCACAAAGATGTTCTAGGTGTTGGTTTGGTTTGGAGAATATCATTGTGAAAATTTGCCTTTTGGCACAATTATGGTCATTTTTTGCTTCGCCTCATAATTTTCACTATGGAGTGTTTCACGTGAATTCAAGGTTTCAGACATGTTGCAAATGGTTATGGTGATGATTTTGACCAAGTTTGGGGGTCCCATATGGCCTGCATTGTATTTTAGGTTGATTGGAAGTTCAAATATGAGCCAAAATACCAAAATTGCAACTGCTGCATTTTCTGGCTGTTCATCAAATTTTTCGTCGCTAAAACCTTTTTGCGAGGGTTGTTCGTCGGATTTTTTTGTAGAGAAAAGGTTCCTGGCACTCTTTAGCGACGGTTTTCGGCAGAAAAACCGTCGCTAAAGGTCATTTTTCCAGATTTTGCTGCTGTTGCTGTCCTCACATGTAGCTGCTTCACACTTAGTTTGGGGGTGGTTTGCCTAACACACTAGGGCCTCATGCCTCACCAATTTTCTCTTCATGAAGCTAGTGCAAATAAACCTGGGAAGTCCTCTTCTTTTCCTTATTTCTTTTATTTATTTATTTATTTAATCAATTTTTTTTAAATTTTCTATATGCTTCCTTCCTTAACTGTGCATTGCATGTTTTCTTTTCTTAACATTGAGGATAATGTTTAGTTCTAGTTTGGGGGTGGGAAACTTTGTTTAGGTTGTTTTCTTTGAGTATTTAAAAAATAATAATTTTCAAGATTAAGAAATTTTTTTTGTTTTTTTTTTGGTTGACAAATTTCAAATTTGTGTGTGTTAATCTTAGTCGTTTGTTCTTCTTGTTAATTGTGAACAATTCAAAGTCCAGTGAAATTTAAATTTTGAATTTGATATTCATAGGTGAGTTTAAAGGTTTGAACATACTTCCATTAAGAAATCTAGGGTGAAATTTGGAATCATAGTTATTTACTTTGGATGAGTGGATTAGTCATATGCTTCACCTTGAGACTTTCACATGCACACCAACATTCTTGTAGGGAGTTAAACGAGTTTTGAGTATACTCATCCTTTTGTTTGATAAAATATAGGATTAGTTAGCATTTAACTAAAAGGTTCGAATAAGGTATATCATATTAAAAGTGACCAAAGAAGTCACAGCCCTATGCAAAATCAAAGTACAATTCAACGAAGCTAGAGTGAAAATTAAAGTGAGCTAAAAGCTAAAAGTCAAAAATTACATACAAGCCTTTTTAACTCGAGTGAGTAAGTCCTTCGGAATGTCTTCACATTTAGTGCCCTAAAGTCATATGATTTGGGAGTCACTGACCTAAAGCTCGTTACATGGGTTATTAGAAAGCTTGTTCCGGAAAAAAAAAATGCCTCTGCTAGTTGTTTTCTAGGTAGTCCCTTCTTCATGGTAGACAATGAAATATTTGTTAATTACTGGATGCGTAAGATATTATATTTGAGTCTTTCCTTTGAAATGGTACGTAATATTATTGGAGATACTTAGTTGGTATTGTAGATCCTATCTAAGACTTCCCAAGATCATTAATGTCACATATCGTGTTCATACTAAAACTCAACATAAAGTCATTATTCTTGGTACAAAAGAAAAATAAAATAAGCTTTTATACTTAAAGAAGAATATATGCATAAACTTAATTTCTAGTGAGTATGATGTTACATGAACACATTACTAGAAGACTTGAGAAAAGCTCAATGATTCTCAAGCGAATGAGGTGCATGTTCAATGATTAACGAAAAACAACAAGGGAAATCGAACGATAACCCTTCAGAACAAAGCTGAAGTCCACCAGCAAACTAGAATCCCCACAGGAATTGAGTAAAACCTCAAGATTTATTGAATACAAATATGAATATTATCCAGAGACGCACTAATGCATCCCTTTTATACATATGCAACCCTAGACACACTATGAAACCCTAATTGGAACCAAAAACGGAAAATAACAAAATTCCCAAAAATATTATTAAAACTTTAAATGCTAAAAAGTGAAAGTAAATAATGGATTTTGGCCTAAAATGTCCATATGTCACAACAACAGAGTCAGTTGCACTCGTGTCGCCAGGTCATGGGCCAATTATGAGCTCAAAGCCCAAATTTGCATGAGATGGATTTTGCTTCCTCAACAATCCGGTTGCTTGTCCAGTTGTTCCTCCATCAATTCAACCATCTAATCTAACATCATATAGGCTTTTCTTTTTGTGGGTGGGGGGGGATCAATGCCCCTATAACTTTCTTCGGACTTTCTTCCTCGACTATCAATTTGGTTATGAGCCCCCTAATATTTTAAGATGTATCCATTTTCTCCCAACCGTCAAATTCATTATAAAATAACATAATTGACAATAGGAGGCAAATTGACACATTTTGAAAGATTAGGTGGCTAACAACCAAATTGAAACGCCAATTGGAAAAGGATACTAAATAAGTTTCGAAGGCATTGCTAAAAGTCTCCCTCTCTTTTATGTATAAAATATTAGAGTTTTCTCATGCCGATGCCAACTAATTTGGACAGAATGCAAATGGGGAGGATTTAACTCGCAATTCATGGGGGTGTCTGGAGTGAAAGCATTGAGTTGTATGCTGTATTAACCCTTTTACCTAACGTCTGCACATCGTTAATTTGTCATTTCAAACTTTTGGCATGTGGATGGAAAATCAATATGCAAGCACTTTTAAACCATCCATCGGGGATATATATATATATATATATATATATAT